CGACTGTAGCTTTTTTTCCCCCCAAAAAACTTTGTCTTCAAAATAAGGGTGCGTCTTATATTCCGAAAAATACGGTATTATATTTAACAATAATATTAACAAAAAGTAGTACAACATGAATTTATATGTAGCCACTACTGTAAATATACAATACACTTAATAAATAAACCTTGAATAGGAAAATACCAAGTAAATTTTGGTTGATATTTCTCCAAAAAATGTATTACCAATATTGAAGAAAATATACAGAACACTAACTTATTTACATTTAGTTAACATTTCTTTCAATGAGACGTGTAAATATTTCAGCTTTTTGTGTAATTAATTCATGTTTTTACAAAAAACAACTTTAAAGTTGTTATTATACGCAACTTATGGATACGGCGTACGGGCACTTAAACAAAAATCATCTCTTAAATGCATCTTAACTGTATGCATGCGTTTTTCCATATTTCATAGTTTCTGTACATCAAACAGTATAGTTTGGTATCAATACTTAAAACCAGAAGTGTGGCAAGCCACAAAAAAAATCATTTGAATGAACAAAAATATTGTCTATGGTACTTTCAAATAAGTTTTTTAATTAAGGTTCTTACTACATTTGGTAAACAATTCACTAAAATATTCATTGGCTTATATATTTATTTACTTATTTGTTCTTGAGAATGCCACAAGTTACTATATGACAACTGATGGAGGTTTTATCTTGTTTCAGTTGTAAATTTACTCTAGCAGTTGCAAAGTCTCATTATAAAGTAATCTTCTTCAGTTAAAATTCATTTCCAAATTAGATTAGGTTATTTGTTATACAATCATAATATAAATAAATGTGTTTACAAAATATGGAAACATGCTGGAATACGTATATCTCGTTGTTCAACAAACCTCATTTTCAGAATAACATGCATGGTGAATATTCGTCAATCAAACTGAATGTTTCATTTGTTTTTTTGGTAACTAGAAATGAAACGTTAACTAAATATTTTTCCACAGAATCAGCTAGTGTATTTGTACATCAACCTACAATTAGTAACTTCCTTTAATCTTTCATTGTATGAGTAAAATAACAGGTGAATTTGACACTATTTAGAAAAAAATAAACTGGTTATGGAACACCTCGATGCAAGTTTACCAACAAGTTGAATACACACACACACACACACATGGCATAACTCCTAAATAAAAATCACCTTGGTCTTGACTATGGAATCATGGAACATTATTATTCCAAAAAAATAAGAACAGAAAGTGCTTATATTAAACATTTATCAACGTTCTCTTATGTTTAAAGTAAGAAAACTGTGAGAGTATTAATAAAATAAATAAATATATATATATCAATACATGTTCATAATTTATGCATAAAATATATAACTTACCAATTATTGTACATAATGCAAAACTACATAATTACCAATATTATCACAATACGAAAAATATGTAATAATTATAAATATATTCAAGTTGAGGTTGTCCCAGTAAAACACAAAAGATAAAAAATAAAACTTATAGCTTATGCAGCTACAGTATCTTATCATGGAGTTACCACATCCAATGATAATTTATTTGCGAGTTTCAGTTTGACGAATTGAGTTATATAATGCGAAACAGTAAAAGATTAACTCAAAATAATTTTGAGTGATTAAGTTCGTTTACTTTCTTAATAAATATGTGCACGTTTCTTGTTTAATTCCAATTAAAACAAGGAAAAGTACTTGAATATTAAGCTTTTACTTTGAAACTTTGTTTAAAAGAGAATTCATTTTCTTCAACCACTGCAACTGAAGAAATTCCACTAGAAATATTTTAAAAAGCTGAATAAATGTAAGTAAATTACAGTATTTTAAATGTTGTATGCGAGTATAGTAACACCGTTACTCTGAGTAATATAACACACAAAATGAGAATCATCTCTGTGCAGCATTCAAAAATTAAGTACCCTGTTAAAGAAATATTTTACAATTCACTTTGTCGTATATCATTTAAATAATTTTTATGAAAGAAACACGGGCTTAACTAGGCCATACCAACTAAATCAAATATCACATAAAGATTTAAAATCCAACCAAATAGATTGTTCTTATTGTGTATACCTCATCACGTGTTAATAACAACAGTACTGGAACTTACTGGATATGGCAAAAAAACAAAGTATATATATGTACCTGTTTGCTAATCACTAATATGATTGAAAAAACTACCGGTGATGTTAAGTGGAAGAGAGGTGTTTGGGTTCAGTGGAGAATGCTTGCAGTACGGCATTTCTTCACCATGACTACATGTAACTTGGTCTGTCATGTTGACAATTGCAATTACTAATCCACACACAGCAACTACCATTCCCCAAAGAGCCATCAGGAAAGCTGGAAGCTTCTGCCAAGAAAAGAGTGACCCACTTTCCAGTTTCAGGTAAGTGACAGCAGGAAGAACGTAGGCAAGTGGAACTGCTGCCAGCACTCCCTACCATTAACAGACTCATTTAATTACTTGTTCAGTTTCATTGTGACAACGTAAAAAAAATCATTGTCATGCAATACTTATAAATCAAATAACATGACTGACTGGTCTTAATAAAAGTTAACACTTTCTCATGTTTAATACTAAAACTTGGTTGCCATTAAAGAAATAAAGAATTAACTTGAAATAATCATTGTAAATGATGAATTAAAAATAGATTATTAAGAAAGTCATCCAAAAAAAATTACCAAACCTGTGAAAAATTTTGGATATTTTACTCGGAAAATTTTGTACTTATGCAATAGGATATTCTGAGAACAATAAACTGTTCAGTTTTAGAAATGAGTCCCACAGAAAAGTACATGATTTCCCAAATTTTTAAAAATAAAATAAAATTACAAGCTGGCATTTTCAACATGATACATATCACACACTTTCTGTCACATGAAATTTAGTAGTTTTTAATCACGAGAGATTAACCAAGCCCTTTATTAACATTATCTTTCAACATGACATGACTATTATAATTCTGTCTATTCTTGGTCATTGCATGTCACCTAGATCTTATAGTATGGAAAACAAACAGACTTGAACCTTCTTTTAATACATAATACACTATTAACAGAATTTGTGATACCAGGTAAGTCACTTGAAGTGTCGTCATAAAACTTTAAAAATAATGTATATTACAATGATGTTTTATATGTCAACAAAAATGAAAAATAAGTTTTGTTTGCATTTATTTACTGATTATAAGTTGTTTTTTTAAATGAGTTACAGCTTTTACAGTACTTAACCCTTTCACTGCGGCTGGGACGTATATTTACCACTTCACTAGGAAATATACGACCCAGCCGTAGTGAATGGGTTAAGAATGATTGCACTAGTGATTGAAATGTCATACCTGTTTAGAAACATATCCTTCCATACTGTAGAAGCTGTAACTTGTATGTATATATAAAGTTTCCACAGAGTGAAGTAAGAAATAATTTAAAATCATTATTACCTTCCAGTCCCTAAAAAATGATGTTACAAATAATTTAAACTCATTATAACATTCAGTCCCTAAAAATGATGTTACAAATAATTTAAACTCATTATTACATTCAGTCCCTAAAAAATGATGTTACAAATAATTTAAACTCATTATTACCTTCAGTCCCTAAAAAATGATGTTACAAATAATTTAAACTCATTATAACATTCAGTCCCTAAAAATTGATGTTACAAATAATTTAAACTCATTATTACCTTCAGTCCCTAAAAAATGATGTTACAAATAATTTAAACTCATTATTACCTT